CTGGAAACTCTCAGAACTGCACAATGTGCTTTTCCGCCTCCCTGGCAGGGCCTGAGCTCGCCTCTGGGACTACCCCTTTGTTTAGAAAATATCAAAGACTGGATTTTTTTTTTTCTGTTGCGCTATTAGTCTTTACATTAAAATTCGGCAATTTTCTCTTTTCCCTGCAGTTTGGCTGTGCCTTGGGTGCACTTTTGACAACGTTTCAGCTCTGACCTGGAGCCGGGCCCAGTTTGCAGCAGCTCGGGGGGTGCGTGGGGTCTGCAGCCCTCTCCCGAGGAGCAAAAACCCACAGCAAGCCTGACACAAGCAGCAAACAAATAATTGCCAGCACTGTGCTAATTGCCAGCACCCCCCAGTATTAATGGCACTGCCGATGTGTCTGCAGCTGCAGGCCGGCACCAGGCTCCGTGTTTTAATTAAGCTTCATTAAGTGGGCTTTGCATTTGGCTTAGAATCGGTCCAGTCCCGGCTCAGCCCTGCAGTGGGAGCGAGCTCACAGGAGCCCAGGCGTGGGGCTGGGAATTTTTCGGCTGTTTCTTCAGCGACTGCGATGCCCCAGCTCTATGTCGAGGCTGCAGAGTCCCTGCCCTGCCCCTGCCCTGTCCCCAGGCACCTTTCTGGGCCTTGCAAAACCTCTGGCAGCCACTTGATGTTGTTTTCCCTGACCGAGCAGATATCTGGGACCGGGCAGAGCCTCCCACATCGCCTCTTCCCCGTGGAAGGGGGTTATCTGGTCCTGAGGTCCCACAGGAGCTGCGTGGCCCTGTAGGAACAGGTTCCTCCTCCTGATGGGCTCAGCAAGCGGGTCTGTAACACCCCGTGATAATTCGGGACAGACTCGCCTGCCAAAACCCATCCTAGCGTATTTCTGAGCCAACAAAACACTAATCATCACCAGCGGTACAGCTGATTAAAGAAAATCTTGAAGTTCTTGCATTGAACATGAGCAATAATAACGTATCCCTCTGACTCTTCCAAACAGGGGTCTGGGAGATTACTGCTAATCCTGTAATATATGCACATATCCCACTGCTTTCCACTGCCTGGCAATTTTCAGACGTGCTGTAGCTCCAGCCCACGTCGCAGCCCATGCTGGCTGTGCAGGAGCTTTCACTGTCCCAGTCTCAGAGGCATCTGCCTAATTGCACCAGCAATATTTTCTTTAATGTGCTTTCCTGCATTGCCTACGTCTGATAAGGTCAAAACCACCTTGAGGACAGCTGCTCGGCTGTCTGTTTTGGTTTCCCCTCCCCTGGATCCAGGGAGGACACAGCTGCTGTGACCTTTTACGTAAACCCAGCTAAAGGTGATCAGGAAATCCACGTGTATTTCCCAGAGTGGTTTGAAGGAAGGAGCAGGGATGTGTTTTATCTGTAATGCTCTCTTCCAAAGAATCGCTCGCAGGGTAGCAGGGCCGTTCGCTTTCTTTCACAAAAAATGAAGGTGAGTGAAGCAGAGCATGTCTATCTCCAGGAAGAACTTCTCTGAGATTTCCCTTGGAATTTTGCAGCCAGAAATTGAAGGAAAGAAAGAGCAACCAACCCGGTCTGTGGTGTTCAGCAAGGAAGGTTTTTCTTCTACTTGTTTTTTAGAGTTACAACTGACGGTGTTGAAGAGATGAAAAACGAAGGCAGATTTTCTAAGGGCTCCTTGCAGGCTCGGAGCTCAGTCACAGTGACATGGTGGAGATTCCCATGGCCTCATCCATGCTATGGCTACGAAGCCAGGAGCTCCAAAATGCTGCTGGGGCCCCCTGTGGGATCCCACCCAGCACCGAGCCTGGTGCAATCCGTGGCCACCTCCACAATATGATGGGCTCGGTCACTGGTCTGGGAAGGAGGAACCAGATTTGGGAACCAGTGGCTGCGAAAAGCCACCCTGACCCACTTTCCTCTGGATGATGGATGCAGGGACTGGTAAGAGCTCCATAGCAACTGGATGCGCTCAGTTTAATTATTAAATCCCCATAGTGCTCCCCCGCAAAGATAAATGGAGCCGGGATATTTTCACCACTTGCAGCCATTAGAAAACCTCTATATTTAGAAGGTCCTGCTCCAATTTGCTGTGTGCCAGGCGGCAGCAAAGCTTGAGGACAATGTTTGGGGTCTGGGCCACGCATGCCCTTCCAGGAAGGTTTGTAAGGGGTCATTTGGGTCGTCCCCTTCTCCCATGCCAAGCATGTGGTAGATTCCCTCGATCAACGGTGGCATTTTACACCCTTGTGGCCCTGGTGCAAGTAATAATACCAGGAATAATGGAGTACCCAGTCACCCCATCCCAGATGTCAGCCCCAAATGGGGAGGCAGGTCCGGAGGTGGTGTTGGATCGCCGTGCATCAGCCTCAAAAGATTTGAGAAAGAGCAGGCGGCACCTGAAGACCTGTATTATTGAGGTTATTTTTTATCGTTCAGGCTCTTCCCTATTCATCTTTTGTTTCAGCTCCTCACAACAGCTCAGGTCAGCTCTTATTATATTCCAGCTGTCCTTCCCATCCCCTGGCACTGAGTATTCAGACGCAAACGGCAAGAACTTTTAGATGGCATGATAAATAAAATAGATGCTATTATTAAAGCACTGTCCTGTTTTCTGCTGCCATGGTATCTCTTGTCTTGTCTGGCTTATTGCTGATGTCTTCTGTCAGCCCAGCTTGCCTTTCTCGGGTGTTTGATTTATAGTCCAGGGAGACAGAGCAAAAACATGGGAAAATTGCAAATGAGGGTGCCGGGAGGAGCACGGGCAAGAAGACAAAAAGCGGTTGATGAGGATGTGCAGATGGGTGCTTCTGCTGCTACCCTGCGGCCAGGGACAGTGTTCAGGAAGGTGATGGAGGTGGGGAAGGCACAGGGTGCATGGAAAACCAAGTGGTTTGGTTTGGGGGCTCTGGCTTACAGCCTCTGAGCCAGGAGAATAAACCCTGGAGCAGAGAGGGCAATCCCTGCTCCTGCATGGGGAGAGAGGAGCTCCAGCATGGGGTGGCATCTGTTCCTAAAGGTGCAGGCAACAGCCACCAGTGCCTAGATCCAGCAAGAGCGCGGCACCAGCAGCCAGACCCTCTGGTGCAAATGAGCCCTGTCCCTTCTGCTTCAAGGAGTGTGTCCTCTTTCGTGGCCGTGTCTGCAGCCCGACATGGGGACGTGTGGGCAGGATACGCAGCCCTGCAGCTGAGAAACCACGGGGTGCTGCCTGCGCCGGGAAGCTGTCCTTGCTGGTAGAGGCTGCAGCTCTGCAGGATGCTATTTTCATTACCGTGTCTGAGGCTCGTGATAATTGAAAGCTGTTCCATTCGGGCCCACAGCCTCCCCAAACTGCAGGCGTCTCTCTCTCGTCGCTCCTCCTGCCAACCCGAAACCCAGGAGGGATGTGAAAGTGCCAAGCAAATCACCCCTGATTTTCGGTGCCTTTCACTGCAACCCCCATGAGATGGGGGTCTCGTTGTCCCCAGGACATGGGACCCTGCCTGCCCCCACGGCAGAGCAAGCTTGGGTGTGGGAGCAGTCGCGTGCAGGGGAGGGAGAGCCTGCCCAATGGGTTCCCTGTAATCCTCCCCAAAATTCAGGAAGAAGATGAGAAATGCGGATTTGGGTTAGTTTGAAATGAAAATTAAACCACTGAGTTGTTTCATCCTCTCGCATGGAGCGGCACAGGAATTCCAGCGGAGGTTTCGAGGCAGATGCTGCCCCTTTAATCTGGTGTTTTGGCCAGTTACACACACACGCGCTCGTCCTGCTTGGATTACACTTCTGCATCAAGGATTACAGTCCAAATCCAGCAGTGCCTTTAATGCCTGGAACTGGGCAAAGAAGCCGACATTAATATATTTCAGGAGCGCAAAAACACAGACGGAGGGTTAGTCATTATAAAGTATGATGTGGGATTATAACACGGGTTGGAGAAATCAGATATCCTGGTGCATTTCCAGCTGTGTGTTTTTCTTGGGCCAGGGCACCCACTCGTTGATCGGGTTTGGGATTCTAGACAATTATTTCAGGGAAAATGCAAGGAGCGGAGCTGCGGAGGGATGCTACTGCAGGGCGCCGTGCTTTGCCATACAACGAACCCCAGTTAGTGGTTTCCTGATCTACCTGGTGGGGAGCCACCAGCACAGGGGGCCCCGTGGATGAATCAGCAAACACCAGCATCCACAGGTTTTCAAGAGGAACTGGGTTTGGGGTCTGGGGGCTGTGTTTTAGTCAATTTAATGTCTAGCTGGAGAGACAAAGGTGCTGTCTATAAGGATACAGGCATAAATGTGTATACAAATCACTTCTAAAGATTAGATTATTCAGGATGCCCTGGAGCATCCCTATGAACATAAATTGCCACAGTTGCATAAACAACATTTCTTGTTGGCAGTGCTCAAGATGTGGGTAGATGGTTGCAGAAGATTAAATTATGGGGGCTCCATGAATTACCATTCATCAGCAGACGCTATGCAGAATCTTAAGATATAAAGGAGAAAATAAACAAAAGAAAACAATACTTTTCTAAGTCCAGACATCTCAGGGAGGTCTGTGTAAGTAATTAATCAAGTAATTCCCCATCTTCTGCATCAAACCTTCTGCTTGATGCTGCGCAAATCTGACAAAGCACAAAATTGCTCCCGTTGGCTAAAGAGGTGTAAGTTTATAAAATCGGTGTTGCTTTGAGCAGTAAATGCCAGCTGGGAAGTGTAACCATGCAGCCAAGGAACCATCACAACGAGCAGGACAGGACCCCCAGTGCCGAAGCCTGATTGTCACGGGTGCAAGGGGAGAGGGGCATTTTGGTGCTTGTGGGCTTTCTGGATGGGTTTCAGTGAAGGGTTAAGTCTCTGCTGGCAAGGCATCCCCTCCACCCTCACCCCACGAGGAGAGGGTGCTAATTGAACAGGCTGAGTGGGTACCCGATCAGCACAAGAAACAGGTGAGAAGGAAATTGGTGAGAAAGGAGGCTAATTAGCTCCCACTTGCCACAAGTAATGAAATACCCCCCCAGATATAGAGCCCAGCTCCTAATGGGGGGGGCAGTTTGCCTCTGACTGGAGAGCTGGAGCTGTGCCCGTGCCCAGGCTGTGGGACGTGGTTGTTGTTTGGTGGTAGGACCGAGGAGGAGCCCTGCGTCCCGGTGAGTACCTGGCATCTCTGCTGTCTGTGTGACCTTGGCTGCTTTGCTTTGCTTTTCTTACTCGATTTCTGAAGCTGGGCAGAGATTTGGGAGCCTGTGTCTGGAGGGCACAGCCCATTGATGTTGGTTCTGCTGGAGCCTGCCTCCTGAGTTTGGGGATGCTGTGTCAGGGAAATAACTGGGTCTCTCTGCAGCCACCTCTGATGTCCATCCTCCAGCCTTTACTTGCGGGTGATGATGTGACCTTAAGGGATGGAGGAAGGCTGCCTCTGCAGCAGCATTGTGGGCTGGTTTCTCTCCGGTCTAGGTGTGCCTTCATCACTGGCATAGTCAGAGCAGTGGGGTGTGTTGGGCTCTACACCCCCATGGTGCCAGGCTTCCAGCACATCAGCAACAACCCATGCTAAACACATCCTTGGCAGCATCAGACTGGGCATGGCATTAAACCCTCTCTTATTTGTACTTAGTAACACTGTAAGTGCTTTTACTCTTGCTCAAATCATAGTGTTAGGTATTAGTAGTTGTGGACTGCTTTTCTCTAAAGATTTTGGAGAAAACTATCATTCTGGCAATTCTTTAAGACTTGAAAGCAGCTTGGAGTTAACTTGCACAGGCTCCCTGGGCTGCTCGTGTCTCAGGATGGGCCCTGGGATGTCACAGGAACCAGCTCCGTGTTTGTTCATTCCCAGTAACACTCAGCCAGGCTCCAGCAGTCCCTGTGCTGGTCCAGGCACCCCACTGGTAGAGATCAACTGTGCTCACCGAGTGTCTGAGAGCCCAGTCCTTTTATTTCTTCTGTGCTTGCAAGTAAGAAGAGCAGAAAATGGCTGTGCCATGGGAGAGCGGAGGGAGTTCAGCTGAGGACTCCGTCTTCAGTCATCTTGGCTGAAAATCACTCTGGGTAAACTTTCTATTTCAGTAGACTTAGGAAAGCAGAAACTAAACTGCTTGGGGATTTTAGATGGTGGCAGAGGTCAATAAAATATTGATGAGGCCTGCCATCTGGAGCTCTCAGATGGATGGGGAACAGGAATGCCAATGGGGCAGCTTACCTACATGCCAAAGGCAACAGAGATTGCTGTCTTGTTTAGATGGACATCCATCCTGCAGCACTGCAGCTGTTCCCAGGAAAAGAGTGGCTGGGTTGACACAAAAACAAGGCAAACCACAGAGCTTGCAATTTTTTTTCCAGGTTGTGATGTTTCTGCTCAATAACAGGCAGGCGAGAGGCAGCCCTGGGAGCACCCCATGGCAGCTGCGTGCTGGTCTTGCCATAGCTTCATTTAAATGGTGTTGTAACACACAATTAAAGCAAAGGACTGGAGGGAATTGTTTCCCCATAGATCTGATGGTGATGTGGGAACAAAGAAGAAATTGTAATGCAACTTTGATGCTCTAGGATGTTGTAACCCTGCAAGCCAGGACTGCTCTGTGCTGGGGACATCTTCCTGCTCCCTGAGACCTGTCCCAGGGCAGTGACCCCCAGCCCTTTAGTGGCACGGGGCACATGGCACTGCAAATGGTAGCAGGTCCACCTAGTGGAATAATTAGACCCAAACAATCCGGGAAGCTGCGTACAAATTAAATCATTAATTGCAATCTCAGCCTTGGCAGTCTGGCAATGAAATGTTGTTGCCAAGACAAAACTTACAGCAGAGCCTAGTGCTAGGAAAATGTGAGGCACTTTGTTTTCACAGGCGAGGCAGAGAACCCCTGGGAGAACTGGGTTCCTTGCTCCTGCTTGGCTTTGTCTATAAGCAGAGTTGAAAGAGCAGCCCTATTTGCAACGTAAAGACAGATCTTTCTCAGTTTGTGCGCTCGCTTGATGTGGCCTATGGCTAAGAGTTCCTGCTACAGCCAAAGGAGACGTTCAGATCTGCCTCCAGAAGGCAACTATAAATAGCCTGCTTTGATGTATAAAGATGTTAAATGGATAACAGTGGAAGGAAAACAACAAACATACTGTTGAAAGGGTTTACAGCTTAGAGATCCCAAGTGTGCAGCTGAGCAGCAGCAGAAATGAGGCTGGTTGAAGCTGTGTGCTGTTGGAGAGGGCTCTCAGTGGGGACCCTGCAGAGGTGGAGAGCAAATCCCCTCTGGCCCTTACCCAGCATTGGGATGGGGCTGGGTGGGGACAGAGGGAACCAGCAGTGGCATGGGATTTAGATGAAGAAATTTGTCTTGCTGCTTGTGTGAAGATTTCAATGCAGAAGCAAGACTTTAGCAAAATATTAAGTATGTGGTCCTGTTTTTGGTTTTTGTTTTTTTTTAAGGTGACCTCTTTCTAGATAGAAAGCCAAGTGCTTCTGAAGTCCTGCCTTCTGTCAAGTGCTTGCAGACTGTGGTGGGATCAAACCCAGGAGCCACATGGGCTTGGGTGACCCCAGTTATCCCAGGGGAGACAGGAGCAGCCCTCCAGCCTGTGCTGGTCCTACTGGTGATTCTGGTGAGCATTTTGGCAGCACCTCTTCCAGCTCAGGAGCAATGAAATGCTCTCGAATGGCAAGCTTCTGCAGCAAGGAGCTCAGTAGGAGGGTTTTTTTGCTAAGTTCTAATCCAAAATTACATGTCAGATTTCATTCTTTTTTTGGTTTTGTCACCAGATTCCCAGCTTGGCAATTAAGAGAGCACTGCCTTCTGCTTTTCTGAAATTCATGCACATCTTTCTCAGTCTAAATCTGCTCTGGGTTTACAAGAAAGTCCAGCCAAAAGCAGTCAGTTTGGAGGATACTTTCTTGTCTGAGAAAATCAGTTCAACTACCATGATGTGTGCAGGAACCTTTCTTTGTTTCCCCTGCAAAGAGGTGTCTTTGATGCATTAAACCTTGAATATGGAATGAGCTTTTCTGTTCTTCTCCCCAAATCTTGTGTTCCTGTCAAGCCTGTAGCAGGTGAAGACATGCATCTTCTCTGCATGCTTTAAAAAACATGTCTGCTGGGCTGTGGAGCCCAGGTGTTGTTGTTTTACCCTTGAAATGATGCATTTTCTTTCCCATAGAGGTGGCCATGTGTTTCCAAATAGCTTTCAGACTTTCTTTAACCTTTTCAAACTTTCCACTAGCAGGGCCTGCTCTGTTATTTCCAGATTGGGTTGGCATTTTAGCAGGAAAATAGCCTTTCTACAAAAATCATGACTTTTGGCAGCAAAAAAATGGTTTTATTGAATGAAAGAATGGATCTTGCCCCTGTGGGAAGGGGAATGGCTGTTCCCTGGTGCCTGTGGGACAGCTGCTGCCCAATTTCCTTTCTGCCTTCAGAAGAACCTGGTGGGCAACTTGCAACCAAAAACCAGCTCCTTCAAAAGAATATAGTAAAATATTCCATGTTTCTTATTTTGCTCCAATTCAGAACAAACAAATACAAATAAATCAGCTCCAATTATTTCCCCCCCTCTGTATTCTCCCTAGGGCTGTGCTGCTATTATGTGCAGATAAATAAATTAGCTTAAACAATGGTAAATCGTCCTGAGCTGCCTTTTATTATCAGAAAGTTGTGTTGGCAACTAGGTAATTTGCTGATGTTATTTTACGTGGTCTTAGTTTCTGCATCTATTCATGAGATTATTCCAAATGTTATACTGGTGCATTTAAATTAAGCATGAAAGCCTTTTAGGGCTTTTTGCAATGATTGCTTATTTATTTTATTATCAATAATAAATTTAAGCCAAAGCTAGGAGTCCCTGTTTTCAAGGACAGTAAAATGCAGAGGAGAAGCTGGTGCCACATAAAGAGTAGCTCTTCAGGAACAGAGCTGAGCCCATGGAAAGGCTAAAAGGAAACAGTTGAAATTTATGGCTCTTTCCTGTTTTTTTTTCTGGTCTGAAGCAAACTGTTATTGCCTCTGGAATTCATGCCCATGCTTAATGAAATGGGAAGGGTGATCTTTCTCTATATCGTGATCTTGTTGCTGTGCTATTTGGGGAAGTACTTAAACACCTTTGGTAGCACTGGTGGAAAACTGTACATTGTGGTTATACTTAGTGACAGAATTCTGTCTCTCTGTAGAGAGCAACTTTTACAGCCACCACTTTTTTTCTGGTATTTTTACTGTTCTTAAATAATTAAATTTATGTTGCAGTTCTGTTTTTATGTAATTAATTGGCTTCATTTTCCATCCAGACTTCCCAGGGAGAGGGAAGGAATTGAGACAAACCAGCTCTTATCTTTAGCTCTGTTCTAGAGTTGCAAAGCACATTTTTTCCCTAAAATGAGCATCCTTGCAGGGTGTCTGCCCTGGGAGTCAAGTGGTGGTGCTGGGGTGAGGGAAGTGGGCATGGGGGTGCTGGGGAGGGCCTCCTGCCCTCCTGTTGCAGCCTAGAAATATTTTGCTTGCCCTCTGGTTATCCCTTATCCAGTGACTCTGATGGGTGGCTGCAGTCTGGCTTGTGTGGAGGCTGAGCAATCAACTCACTTAATGAACCAGTGCTGGGCTCATGCTTCACTTCCCTGGACAGCCCAACTGGGCAGCACCCATCAGTGTGCTGTGTGACTGAGAAATTGATTAATTGATCAGGGAGACTACAGCTTTTCTTCCTCTGTCTTAATTAGGCTTGCACTACTGTTCCCCTCCTGGCACAGAGTTTCCAGCACCGCGAATCTTGAAGCTGCGTTACAGCAACGATAGTTCAAAGGCAAGGATGTCCTTAGGACAGAATTAAAGTAATGAGAGAAAAGTCAATGCCCAAAATTAACTCGGAGATGGGTGATGCTGATGTGCGTCAAGAATTTCACACCCTCGTGAGCCATGTGCAGCTGGGTGGGTGGCTTCCCAGGCACCCAAAAAAAGCAATCCTCGAGTTCCCAAGTTGGAAGTCTGTCCTTCTGATGGTCGTTTCATTCATTTGAGCAGGACAATATGATCAAATCTGATTTGCCCTAGAAGAAGTTGACTCCTTAGGTCTCTCCTTCCCACACACTAGCTGGGTTTCCATGCGTTAGCAGCTTCAGCAGGATGTGTAATGAAACACCTAATATATTATGACAAGTAACGTTTTTTTGCAG